GTGTGTTTCTAAAAAACGAGGCCTTTTGACACGAATGTAGCCAGCGTGCTTGGCAAACAGTTCTGCATTTTTTTTGGGGCACATCATTCTTTCGGGAGCCCCTAAATAAAGCTTCTTGACTCCTCGAGTACTCCCCCTTTGTGGGATTGATCAGGGCAAGGTGTTGAATGAAACTATGCAAATCATTTAGAGGTTGGGTGGAATTGTTGCTGTTTTGTCTCACAAATGTGGCTTTGACTCTCCCTTTACTTAAGCTCAATTCGTTTTTGGGTTTCTTTGGAGTTGGATTTGTTTGGAGTTTGTTTGGGTTGTTGATACTAGGCGCCCATTATGCATTGCGTACGCATTTGTGTGCCTGATGTATGCTTTTCATATGCATGGTGTACGCATGATGTATGCATGCTGTATGCATGTTGTATGCATGTTGTATGCATTGTGTATGCATGTTGTGTCAAACGCCATGCATCTTGCATGCATCGTGTGTGCTTGCTGTATGCATGTTGTATGCATGGCGTGTGCGTGCTGTATGCATGTTGTATGCACGTTGTATGCATGGTGTATGCGTGTTGTATGCATTGTGCATGCGTGATGTATGCGTGTTGCACGTATCTTTCATGCCCTTTGTGTGCATGTTTCATGCATGTTGTACGTATGCATGTTGTATGCATATTGTATGGATGATGCGTGCATGTTGTTTGCATGGTGTATGCATTGTGTTTGCGTGTGTATACATGTGGTGTGCATCTTGTATGAATGCTGTACTCATGGTGCATGCATTTTGTGTGCGTGATGTCTGCATTTTGTATGCATTGTGTATACCTTGTGCGTGCATGTTGTTTGCATGTTGCATGCATGGTGTGTGCATATTGTATGCATGTTGTACGCGTTGCATGCATTTTGTATGATGTTGTAGGCATGCCGTATGCATGTTGTATGCATATTGTATGCATGTTGTATGCATGTTTTGTATGCATGTTGTATGCATTGTGAAAGTGTGATGCACGTATCTTGCATGCATATTGTATGCATGTTGTATACTTTGTTGGGCGCGTTGTGTATGCATGTTGTATGCAGTTTGTATGCATGCTGTAGGCGTGCTGTATGCATTGTAAAAGTGTTTTGTATGAATTGCGTATGCATGCTGTATGCGTGTTGCGTGCCTGATGTATGCATTTTGCGTGCACCGTTGTGTGCATGTTGTATGTGTACGCGCAATGTATGATTTATGCATGGATGGCGTACGCCTTGTGTGTGACTGATGTATGCATGTTCTACTCATTTTGCATGCATGTTGTATGCGTTTGGTAGGCACGTTGTATGCATGATGTATGCATTGTGTTTGCATTTGTTTTATGCATGTTGTATGCGTTTTGTATGCACGACATATGCGTTTAGTGTGCATTTTGCATGCATGTTGTATATGTGGTTTTTGCATTTTGTGTGCACGTCGTATGCATTGTGTCTGCATTATCTATCCAATGTCATGCATGTTGCATGCCTTGTGTATGCTTGCTGTATGCATACTGTATGCATGTTGTATGCATTGCGTGTGCGTGCTGTTTGCATGTTGTATGCATGGTGTGTGCGCGTTGTATGCGTGTTGTATGCATTGCGCATGCATGTTGTCCGCGTGTTGCACGTATCTTTCATGCACTTTGTGCAGGTTTCATGCATGTTGTATGTATGCATGTGTATGCATATTGTATGGATGACAAGCGCATGTTGTTTGCATGGTGTATGCATTGTGTTTGCGTGTGTGTGCATTTGGTATGCATCTTGTATGAATGCTGTACTCATGGTGCATGCATTTTGTATGCGCAATGCGCAATTTCTGTTTGCATGCCGGTCTCATTTTGTATGCATGATGTATGCAGTTCGTATGCATTGTGTATAAACGTTGCGTGCATGTTGTTTGCATGTTGCATGCATGTGGTATGCATCTTGTATGCATGTTGTATGCATCTTGTATGATGTTGTGGGCATGATGTATGCATGTAGTGTGCATTGTGTAAGTGTAATGCACATATCTTGCATGCATATTGTATGCATTGTGTATACTTTGTTGGGGGCGCTGTCTGTGCATGTTGTATGCAGTATGTGTGCATGCTGTAGGCGTGCTGTGTGCATTGTGTAGGTGTGTTGTATGAATTGTGTATGCATGCTGTATGCGTGTTGCGTGCATGATGTATGCATTTTGTGGTAAGGCATGCAACAAATTGAATTGATAAGGCAAATAAAATCAAGCAAGTGAATTAGTCGATCTAAGAACCATGAAAGATACTTAGCTGACATGCACATGATTGACATGTTTGAGAGGAAAACTTGTATCACAGAATCAGTCTTGAATATGCATAGTATGGGTTTGGTGTTGATTTATTGATATTTTTACCACACTGTATGAAGTATATTACCAAATTGTTGATGAATTTCATGTGATGTGATATGAATGTTGTATGAATGTCGTATGAATGGTGTAGGAATTTTGTACGGATTTCATATGCATTTTGTGTGTTTTGTATGAATTATTTGCACTTTTTATGCACTTTTTAAAAGTGCGTACAAAGTGCACATGGTGTCCTTTAAAAGCGCATACAAAGTGCATACCACTTAATCATTGCATAACAAGTGCATTTAAAATGCATACACAATGCATATGACACGCATGCACAAGTCATGTACAATTCATATCACATCACATGAAACTCATCAACAGTTTGACAACATCATGCAACATATTGAGTGGTTTGAAGGCCTTTGAGTATCCACACAACATGCATACAGCGTCATACATATTACTGGAGACAAATTGCCAATGGTATCATATATCTTTTGTTAATATATGTATAGTGTCCTGACACTCACGATTCTGAGCTCTGTGCTTGACATGTTGAAATATATGATGCATGATATAACAAGTATTTTGCTGGGGCACATCATACCGTGAATGTCTCATGTTTCCCAAACCTCATTTGTGCATCTCAATGTACTTGTACATGATATAAATATATATATATATATATATATATATGTGATTTCGGTTTAAACTATTTAGATATCATGTTATATACCTGGCCTAAGTCTGCAAATTAACTAAATTTAGGTGTCGCGAAATTTACGCAAATTTTCGGTTTTAGGTGTACTTTTGCGTAAACAAATCCACCTAAGCATTTACGATTTACTGTTTTTTGTTGGCGTTGCGCATTATACAAGTTGATGTTCCATACCTTCATGGAACATGCTTGAAGCACCGTGTTTGTACTTTGGTGGTATAAAGTTGTTTTCCAGTGGTAGAACATGCTGCGCACGCTGCATGCATGTCCTCATGATTACATTTGAGTAATCGGACATCCCCGCTCAACAATGGATCCACCTAAAACAATAGAGGGTATTGAATTTCCATTTGACTTCAGTGATTGACCTGATGTTCCGGCGCCCAAAATTTACGTAAATTTGAAATTTAGGTGGATTTGATCGATTTACGTAAAATTGCCTGAAACCAAAATTTAGGTAATCCGCAGACATAGGGCACCAGTCGTACCCTTGCACCGTGCCAGTCGCACCCTTGCACCGTGCCAGCCGTACCCTTGCGCCGTACCAGTCGTACCCTTGCACCGTACCAGTCGTACCCTTGCACCGTACCAGTCGTACCCTTGCACTGTACCAGTCGTACCCTTGTACCGTACCAGGGTACCCTTGTGCCGTACCAGTCGTACCCTTGCACCGTGCCAGTCGTCCCGTTGTACCGTACCAGTCGTACCCTTGCACCGTACCAGTCGTACCCTTGTACCGTACCACCAAAACGTTTCATCGTCCCAGTGTTTGCACAGGCCTCCAGAGCATGACTCTTAAATTTAGCTAACTTTTAAACTCTTGAGTCCTTATACCGCTTGCATAGTCCGCCATCTTCATTTCCTCAAGTGTTCGCGCGGGTTGGCTGGTGGCTTCTGCAGCGACTTCGACTTCTTTTTCAGGCGCGTTGTCTCATCATCTGGTGCCCTTAGGATCGACACCGACAATGGCAACGCTGGTCAAAACCAACCAGAGATGTGCTGGGCCGAGTCTGCAAGGCAAATACAGGCTGCATCCCTTTGCCTGGCCGTACCCTTGTGTTCGACCACGGCGACGGGGGGGCAAAATGGAACAGTCTTGAGCCAAACTATTTTTAAACGCATCACCGCCAGGCTTGACTGAGTGTGTGTAATATAGGAGCGCCTCGGGGGTATGATTTTTGTCTGCGCGCCCACTCAAGGCGGGCCCACTCCAGCACTATTGCTGCTGTTACTACTGCTTTTACTACTTCCGCAGCTTCTCCTACTACTGCTGTACTCACCTAAGTCTGCCACCATCTGAAGCATGCCCCAACTCCCTTGACATGTATGGCCGCGAAGCCAGACACGCTTGCCCCCGTGAGGCTACCAGCCACTTGTTTATTTCACACAGGCGATTACCCCGCCTGCCGACCGTACTTACGGCTCTGCAGTATCGAGGACGTGTGACACTTTGCTCATCGGCTAGTCGACAAGCAAACGAGATCACAATCTACTACATGTGTGCGAAAGAAGAGCGCAAAGATGCCTGCGATGAGGGACAGGGTTGGTTTCTTCTTGCGAATCACACCTCGGACCATACGGAATAGAAGTCGTCGTAGTCATAGTAGGAGTAGTAGTAATAGTAGTAGTAGTAGTAGTAGTAGCAGCAGCAGTAGTAGCAGTAGCAGCACCAGCAGCAGCAGCAGCAGGATCAGTGGTAGCAGTAGTAGGAGTAGTAGTGGTAGCAGCAGCAGTAGTGGCACAATGTAGTTGTAGTTGTAAGTAGCAGCAGGAGTAGCAGCACTTCGTGGAACGAGCGGACTCAAACCCTGCCATGAAACAAACGTGCTGCACATGAGTGGGTTGTCTTGGAGCAACAGTGCAACCAAGCAAGACACTCGCAACGCAAGCAACAGCCAGCCGTTGCGCAGCTGCGCAGCATAAATGGTCTTTGGAAGCTTAGCGCGTGGCGCAGGCTGCCCGGACACCTTGGCGACAAAGCTGCGGCTTCTTGTTTTTGCACTTTCCGGAGCCCTAGTAAGGCGAAAACGTCAAGAGAGGCACGCGGATTCCCAGCTACCATGCCTCGGCTTCGGCTGGACATGAGCACGTCACTCGCGTTGCGTCCGCGCTGATCCTTGCCAAGTCACGGGACGACTTCCCCTTGCCTGCATCCTCCTTGGCCTCCCTCACCTCGCCGATGGCGGCCAGCTGATTGAGTTGAATGCGGACAATCAGCTCCTTGTCACTTGCCGTCATCAGGCCAACATGCTTCTTCGAAGTTTCAGGCTTCTGGAACGCTTGCAGAATTTGAGGCTCGCTGTGATCTTCCGCCAGCGCTGCTCGCCGGTGTGCCTCTGTGAAGGGAGCAATCATTGCCTCCTGTTCCGGGCTTTCTGCGTTGAAGGACAGGTGCTCGGTCAAGAGAACGGATTCCCGCCTCTCAGGCGCGAAGCCGGGTGGAGAGGTGCTAGCAGCCAGCGTGGAAGGGAGTGGAGGGGTGCGACTCAGCTTGCCCGGTCTGTCCTCCTGCTGTTCTGCCATCATTTGCGCCTCCAGCTCTGCAACTGACATTATTGTGGGCTTGGCGCCCAGGGCAGAATGCAAGGGCGGCGCGTGATGAGGACGTGGTGGGTGGGCAAGTTGCGCTGGGCGCAAAGGATGTGAATGCAAAGGTGACAAGTGCGATAAGTGAGCACTCATGGGTTGTGTGAGTGGATGCGGTCGGGGATGTGGCTGTGCCTGGTGTGCCTGCGGAAGCACAGGATGCGCTGGACGGCCTGCCATCCTCTTGAAATGCGCATCTTTGCCGACGGCTTCCTGCAGCATGGCCATTTGGGGGAAGCCAGGCCATGGGCTGGGGGCAAGTGGCACTTCTAACAGACCTGGGAAGCCCAAATCGTGCGCTCTAGGCCAACCCTTCCCAGCAAGCGGTGGAGAAAAATGTAGGGGCACGCCGGCTGTCAAGTCCGGCTGCGTCATAGTCAAACCTTCAAAGAGTCCAGCTGGAGGCGGGCATCCCTGGCAGTCAAGCTCCAAGACAGCAAAGTGTGGCAAATACGGCTGCGCGCCCAAGAGGCCCGAACTTGAAAGTTCTCCTGAAATATTGGCGACGGGTTTCTTTTATTCAGTAGTGTGTGCGTGTATGTGTGGGTGTGTCTGTGTCTGTGTGGTGTGTGTGGTGTGTGTGGTGTGTGTGTGTGTGGTGTGTGTGTGGTGTGTGTGTGGTGTGTGTGTGTGTCTATGTGTGTGTGTAAGTTCGTGTTATCTGTGCTGTTGAACTGTTTTTGTTGCTTTGCTTTTGTTTGTTTCTGCGGGGTGCGCGTGTGTGCGCGCATGCGCGTGCGCGTGGGCGTGGGCGTGTGTGTGTGTGTGTGGGTGTGGGTGTGGGTGTGCGTGGGGGCGTGTGGGCGTGTGGGCGTGTGGGCGTGTGGGCGTGTGGGCGTGTGGGCGTGCGCGTGCGCGCGCGTGCGCGCGTGTGCGTGCGTGCGTGTGCGTGCGTGTGCGTGCGTGCGTGCGCGTGGGTGCGCGTGCGTGCGCGTGCGTGCGCGTGCGCGCGCGCGCGTGCGCGTGCGTGCGCGCGTGCGCGTGCGTGCTGCGCGTGCGTGTGTGCGTGCGTGCGTGCGTGCGTGTGTGCGTGTGTGTGCGTGTGTGCGCGTGTGTGTGAGTGTGCGCGTGTGTGTGCGCGTGTGCGCGTGTGCGCGTGTGCGCGTGCGCGCGTGCGCGCGTGCGCGCGTGCGCGTGCGCGTGCGTGTGCGTGCGTGTGCGCGTGGCGTGTGCGTGTGCGTGTGCGTGTGCGTGTGCGTGTGCGTGCGTGCGTGTGCGTGTGCGTGTGCGTGTGTGTGTGTGTGTGTGTGTGTGTGTGTGTGTGGTGTGTCTGTGTGTGTGTGTGTCTGTGTCTGTGTCTGTGTCTGTGTCTGTGTCTGTGTTGTGTCTGTGTCTGTGTGTGTGTGTGTGTGTGTGTCTGTGTGTGTGTGTGTGTGTCTGTGTGTGTGCGTGTGTGTGTGTGTGTGCGTGCGTGTGCGTGTGCGCGTGCGCGCCCGTCTGCGCGCGCGTGTGCGTGTGTGTGTGTGTGTGTGTGCGTGTGTGTGTGCGTGTGTGTGTGGTGTGTAAGTGTGTGCGTGCGCGTGCGCGTACGCGCGTACGCGTGTGCGTGTGCGCGTGAGCGCGTGCGCGTGTGCGCGCGTGTGCGTTGCGTGGCGTGGCATGGCGTGGCGTGGCGTGGCGTGCGTGCGTGGGTGGGTGGGTGTGTGTGTGTGTGTCTGTGTGCTTGTGTGCGGTGCGCCCGCGTGTAGTTTTGTGTGTGCGTGTATCTGTGTGTGTGTGCGTCTGTATGTGTGTGTGTGTGTGTGCGTGTTCGTGTGCGTTTGTGTGTGAGTCTGCGCGTGGGTGTGCTTGTGAATGTGTGTGTTTGTGTGTTTGTGGTTGTGTGTGTTTGTGTGCGCGCGCGTGCGCGCGCGTTTGTCTGTTGTGTGTGTGTGCTTGTGTTGCTGTGTGTGCGTGTGTTTGTGTTTGCGCGTGTTGGTGTGTGTGTGCGGGAGTGTTTGTGTGTGTGTGCGTTTGTCTGTGTGCGCGTGCGTGCGTGCATGCGGCGCGTTGCGTGTGTGCGTGCGTGCGTGCGTATTTGTGCGTGGGTGCGTGTGGCATGCGTACGTGCGTGTGTGTGTGCGCGTGGGTGCATCCCTGGAGATCCAGGGCGGGAATCTTTTTTTTCGGTAGTATTTGCCGCATTGTTGAAAAAAGATACTACCTATTTTTCAGCCGAAACGGAGCCCCCCCCCAAAAAAAAACTCCATTTACCTCAGCGCCAGCAGAATAGATACTTAGATACGTCCCTGCTTTGCAAGAGTAGATGCGGAAAGATGCGGATAGATACGGGCAGTTGCAAAATAGATACCAATAGATACGTGCGCAATACACTTTCATAAAAAAATACTTTTTTAGATATTTCAAGAAAATAGATACGCCCAGCTAAATTTTTAGATATTCATAGATACGGGAAATAGATACGGCAGGCAACAAATATTCAAAGAAAGCTCAAAAACTTCCGCATGGTCGATATTGTCCCTGGGTAACGCAAGCGGGAAAAAACATGGCCTTGCGCGTAAAGTCGGCTTCTCGGAAGACGCGCAGACCTTTGCTTAACAGAAGCGGCGACGGAGCGGTCTCAGAGCAGTTTCGGCAACGGTCCAGTGACACCCCGCACGCGTTGCTTTGCAACCACCAAAGGCTCAACCCTCTACAAACTTCCGCAGGGCCGACCTTCAAGCATGAGCGAACTGATTGACTAGTTTGCAGATTGGCTAGATGACCAACCAAACTGGCTCTTGAGCGAAATGATAGGTAAAAGTCGACATAGCTCAGTGGCTTAACTTACGGTTTTCAATCTGGATTCACCAAGTAAGTTAGGTAGCCACCTCGCCTTGTTGCGTTGGCAATTAGATTCACTTGCCTTGCGTAGGAAGGCATCCAAAGTATAGTTGCTCGCACTGTTACAAGTTTGCACTTACGCCGGCTTACGGGTAGGTTACGGTAGTTGTAGTAGACGCGCCCCTCCAACGGTCCTCATCAAAAGACGGTCTCGCACGAAGCTCCTGGGCGATTTTTACACGTTGCGCTCGAGCATACCTAACCAAAGAAGTCGAACCATAACTTGCGAATGCATTGAGTGTCCTTTAGACACAACTGACCACAAGCCCTTTACTTGCTTGTTTTTGGCCTCGTCGGAGTACACCCAAAAAGTGCGAGGCTTCGTGCGAGACCGACTTTTGATGGGGGCCTGGTTGGAGGGGCGTGCCTAAAGGACACTCAATGCGTTTGCAAGTTATGCTTTGGCTTCTTTGGTTAGGTGTGCTGGAGCGCGATGCGTGGTTGCCGAAAGAGAAGCGCACGCTTGGGAGCTGGGGGTTCTTCTTTCTTTGCAGAAATTTTGACGCTGTAAATAAACAAATAGACGTAGTTCAAAATGAGGGCGGGGATGTTGACTTGCTAGTGTGTTCGGGTCTGGCACTGCTTCTTGGGTTGAGCCAGTTCCGGGAAGCCTTATCAGAATTTGTTGTGTCATCGCTGGCCAGACCGACTCTGTCACAGCTGCAATGACCACAGCTTGTCAAAACTGTCGCGATATCAAAGGCGCTGACGCCGCCTGCAAATACATCCTGCCAGCAGGCGCGACTCAGTCCGAATTGTCATGGTGCAGCGGTCTGCCGGCACGAGGCTTGTGTTGCGGGCGTAGCGCAACCAATTCCTGGAAGGCAAGATCAACTCCTCACATTCTGAAGCAGTTTAGATACGCGGTGCTGAAAAAAGATACGGTTAGATACAAATAGATACGCAAATCGATACGATTTGTTGAATACGATGTGTTGTTAAGGATACGATGCCAAAATAGATACGGAATCTATTTTGTTTACATGTTTGCTTGTGGGAAACAATTTTTAATAGATATTCTGAAAATGTATCTTTTTTGGATACGCATGCGTATATGCAGGGATTCCTGCCTGGGAATCTAAAAGCTATATTTCGATCTTTAGGGATGGGTGCGTGGGTGCGTGCGCCTGTGTGTGCGTGTGCATGTGTCTGTGCGTCTGTGTGTCCGTGTCCGCGTTTGTCTCTGTGTCCGTATGCGTGTGTCTGTTTTTGAGTCTGTGTGTCTGGCTCTCTGTCTGGCGGCGTGTGCTGCGTGTGTGTGTCAAAAGGTGTGTGGAGCCTGTGTCTGGTGTGCGTGTGTCTGTCTGCGTCGGTGTTTTTGCTTGAGTGTGAATGCGGGAGTGGGAACGCAGGTGCGGGTTGAGTCTGGGTGTTGTGAGCGTGACCGTGAGTGCGATTGTCTGTTCGTGTGCGTGTGCGTGTGCGCGTGCGCGCGCCCACCGGTGACTGGATGGGTGGGCGGGAGGGCTCGTGATTGCTTTGTCTGCGAGCGTGTGTACGTCTGCGCGTGCGTGCGGCTTTGTGCGCGTGCCAGACTGTGTCTCTGCATGCGTGGTTGTGTGTGTGAACCCCCTTACAACCGCAAGGGGCCAGCCTTGAGCTTTCTTCTCATATGCACTTTTTGACATCGTTTCCAGCAAGGGGCCAGGAACCCGTGGATGTCTGTTCTGGTAAATGAAGTACCTGCTTTTAGCCTTTCTTGCGATGATGATTCCTTCGTTGCTTCCGCAATCTCCTCGGTCTTCAGTGTGACGTGTTGAAGCTCCTTGATTTTCTGACTACGCCGATCTCGCAACTAGAGAGAAGCCGGACCGAAATCAGCGCCGTGACCACGCCAAGCTCCACTAGTGAAAGCACTAAAGCTTGCCGTAAGTCGCCTCACGGATAAGCCCAACAGCTCGTTCTGTCATCAATGTGTCTGCCAGTTGGCAACACCAGATATTCCATCTTCCTTCGGGGGCCTACACGGATGGCCAGTAAGGCTTACTTTATCGCCCTACGGGCTGTCACGAATAGCCCTCCGGGCTGCGCACATGGCTCTGCGAGCCCAACCATTGGAACTGAGATGAACCCAGGCGCAAGGCCACGTTTGTCAGGTCCTCTTGTTTTCTGTCCTTCTTTCTTCCGTTTTTTGGGCCCCTTTTTTCTCAAAGCAAAAACTGGTTTTTCAACCCTGTGGCGCTCTTTGGGCTACGCACGGTTCCGCAACCTCCTGCCCTGTCCACCGTGCCTGAACCATGGTTTACACTCGCTACAGCACCAAGCTCAACCCCACGATGCAGGTTGCAGCGAAGAGACATTGTCAGGCATATGCAGCAACCGCGCACGCACTTTCTTCGGCATCCACGCCCCATCTTCCGACAGCACGACCCACCAAGAAAGCCAAGCCTCTCACCGTCTTCCCACGCCGCGGATCGCGTCCCAAGAGCGCTTTCCCGCCCCACCACGGCGACCTTCGGGACCTTTGATGAAGCCCAACCAGGGGAACATCCGGGCATCAAACGCGTCGCAGTCGACTGGAGCTTGCGCATTGGCAACGCAGCCAAGACGGTTCTAAAACAACTGGCACGGGACATAGCTTTGGCCTACACGGCACACCACTGACTTCGGAACGCCAGCCACTTCAAATGCAATTTTTCTCAGGCTTCTAACCTTTTACGCAGACATTCGTCAACCAGCTTTCAAGCATCTACCGGGGCAGTGGTTAAGGCTCCTTTTTCCAGTACGCCATGCACCAGAAAGTGACGCCCAACACGCCCCTTCGTTTTCTTCGCCTCAAGAAGCTTTCGTCGATCACGGCTTGCCAAGTTTTTGACTACCACCAGATCGATCAAATCAAGGCCTCCCTCTTCCACAAGGCCTGGCACATTGGCTCTGCCATCTACAACGTTCAATGCGCGGGGCCTCGCATGACTACAAAAGCCACGCGCGCTCCACGCCGACACCATGCAGCAACCACAACTCAACAGTTGCTGGGTTTTCCGCGCACTCCGTAGATACGGACACCGCACCTGGATGAACAAGTACTTTTTACCAACTCACCGCCACGACGAACGCGCAGCGTTTCTGGCGGCCCAATGGCCACCTCAGGCACCCAGCACTGCCTACTCCAGCCGCAGGTTCAGCAATCGCGCCGACACAGTTCCAACCTCGTGCGCCTTCCTGCAGATCACCACCCGCGCCGGGTGCATCTAGCCTGTCCACAACGTTTTTTTTTGTTTTTTTTTTTAACCTTCTTGGCCGCACATTTATCGTGGGTACCGTTTGCACCGTATGCCTGCCGCAGGCTCTTCCTGAACTTAAGTTTCTTCTCGAGCTAAAACGCCTTTTCCCCCTCGACCTCTACGCGCGCTACCAGTGGGGTTTCAATTGGAAACGGGACATCCCCGGCACACACCCTGCTTAAGGAGTCCGGGCAGTGGCAGACTGCAACGCCCACTGTCAGCTACAAGAACACCTGGTGCACTCGCATTAGTCATTTTCGGGATCATGAAGCGCACCCTGCCAGCTCACATCCTCTCCACCGAAACCACGCTTGTCACACGCGCTTTACACAGGACTACGAAGGACTCCGGCAGTTTGGGGCTACAATTTCGTCGAAAAGTCATTGGCGGCTTTTTCCACTCCGTGGATCACGACCACATACATTTTTGCATAGAACGACTTCTTCAGCATTTCTTCCAAAAACAACAGGTGTCATTCGACTACCACATCAGCGAGAATATGCAACAGAAGCACCGTCTTCCACGAGTGTTTCGTGGAGCTTGGCAACTGGCAGGCCCACCCGCAAGTTTCATCTCAACGACATCCCCTCCCTGGCCCAATCGATTTTACGCACATCCATGGCACGGATCGGCAACATCACTGTTCGCCAGGTGCGAGGAGCCTCTATGGGCAATCCTTGTGCTCCAGCTGCGGGGCAGTGGCGGCTCTCTGGGAAGTGGCTCTTTACGAACACTGCTGCCCTAGTCCTTCTCCTCCAACCAGTTTGCCCATCATATTGTAGGAGATGAACTTCATCGGCCGTAGGAGTTCTTTCTCCGCCCGTGCTTCTATGGCCCGCCACTTGTCTTGGATTCCGTGTGCACCAAGGACGTCAAGGGGTTGACCATCAACCACGACCAACACATGCGAGTGCCACATTTTTTTCGATCCATTGCCTCAGCTTGGGCAAGGACCACGCTGCTTTCTGGAGATCGCGCACGAGCACTTAGCATTTCGGATCACACAACCTCGACAACTTGCCCACGCCGCGGCGCAAGAGCTTTTGGAGCACTACATCACGGCGGGGTCCCGCGGAACTCCTCTCTGCAGAACTGCAGAAGCTTCGGCACAGCTTCCACACGTGACCCTGTCAAAGCAAGACCAGACACCATGGAAATGACAACGTGTTTTAGCCCTTCTTGTGATGATGCTTCCTTTGCTGCTTCCGAAATCTCCTCGGTCTTCAATGTGACGTGTTGAAGCTGTTTGATTTTCTGACTACACCGATCTCGCAACTAGAGAGGAGCCAGACCGCAATCAGTGTCGCGACCACGCCAAGCTCCACTAGTGACAGCACTAAAGCTCGCCCTATGTGGCCTCACAAAAAAGCCCAACAGCTCGCTCTGTCAGCTGTGTGTGTGTGTGTTGATGCGCCTGCGCCTGAAGAATCGTCTACAAGCGGTCAGGCATCGATCAGGTGTGGTTAGCATGATTGTCTCAGTTCTCAGTTCATTGAGAATTCACCAAGATTCCGCACATGGTGGCTGCTTGTGGGAGGCGATGCAGTGTTTCCGTGACAAAAAACCATTCTTATCGCGCGACCTGTTTTTTGTTGGAACCCAAGGGCCTTCTGGGGTCCCATGGCAGCATGTTGCAGGGGGCAGAGGCGAAGGACCTTGTCGAATGCAGTTTCGTTTGTGCAGCGCTTCGCGTCAGCAATTCCGGCAATTCGGCTCAACACGTTTGACAAAACCCTTTTACGGGCGTCGTGCTGCACATGGGGCCAAAACCCCCTTCAGCCTTTCGCCAAGAAATAAATACTGTGGGCCCTGCGCATATCTCGATTGACGGGGAACCAGGCCAGGCTGACCAACAGCGACGGGGGCGTGTCTAGCCCCAGGGAGCGAAGTGCTTCAAATTCTCCCAATGTGCGCAGCTCCCTGACTGCCTGCAACGCCACGACTCAGACATGCGCGCAGCTCTCGCTAAGCCTGGCCTCTGGGCGCGCCTTGGGCCCTAAGCCTGGGGGAGGCGAAATGCCAAAGCCTGCAATCGCTGCGTCACTCAGGAGCTTTGCAAAGCCGGGTTGAAAAGGTATATGTATACCAACATCATGGTGAGTGGTAGGGATCTCTCAGCGCTTTAAGCTCGGAATGGGCTTCCATTGGCAGCTCGGGCCTGAAGTCGGGCTGCTCCGCGCTTGCTCAAGTTCCCGCTGAAAAGCCTGCAAATCAAGAAGATGGGCTGCAAACTTTGCAAGCATGAGCCTTTCAGCTGTCAAAACCTGTCCTCCTGTGCTGGGGATGGCTGCCAATCATCTCCTATGATAGCTGCCTTAGGCTGCAAAACGCTCAAAGAGCAGCGCCCCTCAGAAGCCCCAAGCATCCCCAAATGTGTCGTCGTTCAAGTCATCTCTACCCTCCTGCGGTCGCCCGTGCTGCTCAGTGGATACAGCTTTCATGTTGCACGCACCAGAGCGTTCGGAAAGAAAAGGTCTGAGCCATCCCTGACTATCTCAGCTTGCAGGCTGAGTCCTGTTCCTTGAACAGGTCAAGATCGGAGTTGTCGAAGGCCATCACCACATTCCACCTTCGCGGGATTCTGGTGAGCGACCTCGGGGCTGCTTCCCTGAACGAAGGTGCAGAATGGCTGGACTGCGCTGCCACGCGCTGCCAGGCCACGAGGAAAAGGCGTATCAAAGTAGCCATTGCCGTCCACTGTGTCTGGTCCACACAGCTGCGACACGACAGCGCGAGAGAAACAACTTTGGACTTGCTCGCTCACCCCACGCAGCAACTTGCATTTTCTTTTGAGCGCCCTCCCGAGTGCGTGAGAAACATAGCTTGCCTGGCTTGCCCGTTTTGAAACCCTTTGTCGCTGACATGGCACGCCTCAGCCAATATATCCACTCAAGCCGCTGCAAGCCACAGCCATCATGCAACAAAGAGCGTCTTACTGGGAAACTGCGCAGGCGCGTGGATCTCCAGCAGCAGGCACGCCAAAGGCTTCTAGCTTTCCTCGGCTTCAGGGATGATTGAGGAATGGCGCATGCCTTTGGACACCGCAAAATAAAAACGGAATTCGCAGCACAAGCCTGGCAAATGCAAGCGCTATGCTTTGACACAGTTCATCCATCTCGCGGCGGCTTCCTGGAGTTCTCTTCTTCCTCAGGCGTTCAAAGCAGTGCACCAGAAAGGAGGCATGCATATGCATGCGTCACAGAAGTCACAACCAGTGTAACAGCACCAGCAGTATCAACAAGCATTCATGCATTGCAAGCCTCAAGCAATGGACTTGTGAGGTGTGGGAAATTCTTGGAAATTCTTGCTAAGGTGCAGCCCCCCATGGTCTGCCAAGCCCTTCTCCAGGCCCTGGGTGCGGTCCAGGGCATGGCCTGCCAGCTTGGCCCGCAGCTTCTTCTTCAAGTCCTGCAGGCATCCGCCTTCCAAGACGACTAAAAGGACTGAGACCGCATAAGAACTGGAGGAGTGGAGCCTGGTTCCACTAAGATAAGGCATTGCAAAAAAGAATGCCGCTCGGCGGGAAATGTGGGCGACTGGGCACGTGGCGCAAACAGCAAAGGTGTAAATAGCCACGGTCAAGGCGACTTCGAAAACAACAAGACAGCGAGAAGGCTTCTCGCGCTTTCAGACAGCGACCTGAAAGAAGCATAACCTCATGCTTCACAAGACAAGAGAGGCACCCTACACTTCCGGGTCGCATGGTTCTGGGTGGGCATGGTCAAAGGATAACTCATGGCATCGTTCCATCTAAGATCCATGAAGAATTGAGGGCAAGTCGCTTGACCGTCTGGCCATGCCATTGTCTGTCGCGGCTATCGGCTCTAGCCTGATGATTCCAGCAAGTCCTCTCGGGGCGCAGCCGGAGCCTTCACAGCGTTCATGTCATCATCCTCACAAGAGCTTCCTCAAGGCAAGTGCTTTGGACACAATGAGCTCGCGCGCAACGTGTCAGCAAATGCAAAAAAGATGTCACCGCGAGCGATACCAAATCTGGAGTATGCCGCCTGCGCCCTGGTGACTGCCTTGACCGTCTTTGCTACAGGGCCTGCCACATTGGTAAGCCGATCCTGAGCGAATGGGCCAACGCCCAACCGCACATCCCCCCAGCAACACATTGCTCGAAGCAAGTATCGGACTGTGTCAAGTGAACTTGGAAAATGACCGTGTGAGGTCATAGTAGCACTGGAGATCTCATTGCATCTGACGATTGAATCCATGCTCTTCGGCAATGCGCTTTCTCATCCAAGCATCGGCCAGCGCATCCACATCCTTGTGCGCCCGAGCCTGTCCAAAAGGCGCAGCAATTGTCAGGCAAGCGCACTTCACCGAAGCTCGGGAAGCATGCCTAAATGAATGTCGTTCCCAAACATAACCAAGCCCTGGACGGCGGAAATGTGCTGCAAAACCATCTTCATTTGCCTTCAGAGCTGCTTGTCGTCGCACATTCCAAATTACGTTTGAACGCATGCTTTCCAAAGGGGCGGGCCAGCAACTCAAAGAGGCAAGTATTAGCCCAGGCTATTAATTGACGAGCTCTATGCTAAGTCTCAGAGCTTGCCTGACTTTGGCATAAATTCCTGGCCGTGCTTCGCTGAATGTCGCACTTTACAAACCCAATTCCCGTTAGCCGCCTGGCCAAACGCAGTACTCCCTTCACTGTCCCTCGATCGGTTCTCCGGTCATTTCCACGACAACAAAAATTGGGATCAATTTCTAAGGGGCCCTTTTTTAGGGGGAATTTCTGGAAATTTACGCTTTCTGTGGGGGGAACAACGCTAAAGCACCCAATCTGAAAGTATTGCTTGGACTCTACGTTCTTAACGTTCAGATTCTTCTTAGCTTGTGGTGGAGTTTCCATGTTGCTTGCGGTACTTACAGCATTACCCACTGCAGGGTGTAGTTGGCTAGTCCATGGTGTTTCGGTTGGTCAAGGTAAAGGAGCTGTGTTCTCTGGGGGCCATGATAGTCCTGCGAGTGAAAACCCGCCCGTGGCCACCTCACCAATGGACCAAACTAGACATCAGTTTGGGTCACTTCAGCCAGCAGGCAGGAAATACAAAAGAATGGCAACAGACTCACTTCTTCCAGATCAAATGAAAAAGAGAAATGCCTTCTCTGATGGCGCAACTTCGGAGGACAACACGCAACACGGGCCAATCAGTTTAAACTCGTCACGCGCACGACCTTGCCCATACCACCCAGAAGCCTTCTCAAGCGGGGGGCTACGGGAAACGTAGCAGCCCCACAAAAATGAAAAAGTGGCCACGTAGTCAAAGTTTGGCACATGTCATGGAAGGTTTGCTTTCACCTGTTCGCAGATAATGTGGAAGCTGCCGTTTCAAGGAAGAATTTGATTGAAATTAGACATATTGGCCTCCTTTGTGTCACTTCCACATTAAATCGGACAGGTTCAGCTCAAGGTCGTTAAGGATGTATTTATTCCACGTGCTGCGTCTGCACGGCGAAGAGACAAGAATAACAATGCAAACTCAGCGCCTTTCGTTTGTCGTGGCGCTTCTTGATCTTTTGCTGCCTCTTGGTGACTGCCTCCAGGGCAAAACCCTCGTCACGCGAAACTCCCCAGCTGTGTTCTCAAGCTTCGACACACGCCCGAGGGGCAAGTCAAAACCAAAGCTGACTGCGCTCGCTTTGCGCGGGGTGGTGTAAAAGCCTTGTGGCCCCGCCATCCACCGCAAGCTTGTGTGTCCTATTTGCTCTTTAACAACCGGCAGGAGAGTCTCACATATGGGAGGCCTTGATTGAGCCAGGACAGGTGACGAAAGTTGAAGAGCCTCTATGCTAGGTGTGCTCAAATGGCAACAAGGTAGCGCTTACAAGTTTTGCGGGGACGTGGGTAGGTGCGGCTCCCTAGCGTGAAGTTGTGGAAAGAGGGACTTGGGAAGATTTACCGGGCATTTGGAGGGCACTGGTTGCTGGAGTCAAAAGTGTTGGCGTTGGCTGGCAAGCCAGGTGGTGCGGATGTGTGAAAATGCGGGAGATCGAATTGAACGGTCACGTGTTGAAACGCAATCGGCACAGCAAAGCTACAAGGAAGACAGCGGCCCATACCAGCTTCTTAGAATGGAGCCTGCCTGAACTAGACTGCAACATGACTGCAACCGAGAGAGAGAGAGAGAGAGAGAGAGAGAGAGAGAGAGAGAGAGAGAGAGAGAGAGAGAGAGAGAGAGAGAGAGAGAGAGAGAGAGAGAGAGAGAGGGGGGGGGGGAGGAAAAGTGAGAGAGAGAGAGAGAGAGAGACGGAGAGAGACGGAGTGAGAGGGAGCGAGGGAGCGAGGGAGAAAGCGAGAGAGAAAGAGAGGGGGAAAAAGAGAAAGAGAAAGAAAACGAGAAAGAAGCACAACAGCTTGTGCAGCGCGCGTGTATTTTTTAAACTTCCACCCCGCGGCCCTTCTGAACTTTACAGGAAACACATATTTTATTAAACGACGGTTGAGTGTGTGCACGCCTGGCTTTGCAAGTGACACGCGGCGGCAGCTCATCAGGCAGAGGCAGTCGGCGCAGCTGGTGATACTTTTGAAGCTAGTTTACGACTCCAGCTTTCGTGCTGGAAACGGAATCGGCAGCGTGACTTCTCGTCCATTTTCACGGTCCGGAAATGCCACATCAGCAGCCTGCGGCCTGCCCTGCGTCTCGTCTTCTTCGTTGCTCCAAGACACTGGCGCGCTTCCGTCGTCACGGCTGTCTTGGTCCCCTGCAGCATCGTCAAAACTAAAATCCCACCGATTTGGGGGGCAGCAGGGCTTGCTGACGAAAAGGCCACGTGAGCAAGCAAAGCAGAATTGGTGGAATCAAACACAGATCCTTCGCGCGCCGTCGCCGTTCACGTGCGGGAGAAATGCGGACATGGAAGAGGGATCCTATCTGGATCACCGTGCCTCGCAAGTGCCGCGGTGAAACTATACAAGGGCTACGGCCCGTCCAGCGCTCGATGCGCAAACAAGGGCTCGCCGAAGAGCTTCACGAGAAGCATGGCCAGCATGCGCGGCAGCGCCGGGCGGGGCCATAAGCACCCCGGAGCTCAACACCAGCTAAGAAAGGGCACCAAGCCTTGCGCGCGAGCGCTCAAAAGAAGCTGTGAGGGGTGTCCGGCCTTTGCGCGGCCTGCCGCGGGTGCCTGCAACGTCAAGCGGCCCAACCCTCGCACGGCCGCCGTCCCTGCGACGGCTGTCGTCTGCCTTTGAACCTGCGTCCAAGAAGGAGGCCACCCCGAGGCATGAAGGAGCCCAGCGTGAACGGCCCCGCGGCTTCTTCGCCCAGAAGGGGGCTTGGCAGTGAGCCAACCATTCAGCGCGGTGACGCCGGCCTTGGGCTTGTCCTCCTTGGGGCTAAGCTCAGACTCCAATCCAAGGATCTTCGCACGAAGGGCGGGGCCAGCTGAGGCGTCAAATGAGCCGATCTCTGCTGCGGCCACCAGCGAAGTGGAAGAGGGACGGCTCCCTTGCGCTCCTCCTTCGAGGAACCTCTCCTTTGCCCCATCCTAAGTCACCGGATGAACCGTCATCATGTACAGCCGGCACTCTTTGTCCCGGGGCCCGGCGCAAGGGGATATCATGAGAAGCGCGGCAAAAGCGCAGCAACGAGTTCAGGAGAGTTGCTGGCGATCTTCCACTGCTACATATTGCCATGTGCTCTATGGGCCCGCGCAAAGTAGACGACCATAGATCGCATTAAAATCTTTCTCTTTGATAATCTCCAGACTGTCAACGTCTTTGTCATCAGAATGTTGAACGACTCCTTGACCAGCCTCACGCATGGTCGCGGAGAGGGTGGGCTTCAAGTTCTTTTGGCCGCAGCCAGGTGTGCTTGGAGAACCAAAGGAGCCATGGGGATGTGACTTCTTGCGCTCGGTTTCCCTGTCAGTGTTGACGTAGCTCCGTCTCGCAGCCCGCGACATAGATCCCCAGCCGTCGGATGAAATGGAGTTCGGCTTGCCAGCCGCTTCTTTCTGGAGGATGATTGCGGGTAATCAAGCGGCTCCTTCTCGTCGGTGTGGTCTGTGCAAGGGACAAAGCCCTTTGAAGCGGAGCGGTGCCCCTTTGGCAAAGAGAACCTCCTCAGGGTCAAGAAGCTGGCAGTGCGTGACCCTGACGTTATCAAGTGTTTTTCTGAGAAGGGCCCCCCTAGAAGAAGAGTTTGCAAGTCGTCACCCGAAACCAGTTCTTTCTAGCCTTAGTATGGCTCCGGTTCCTGGACTTCCCGTCTTCGCACAGTACCCAGTAGTCAGTAGTCGGGGGCCTTGCCCAGCAATAAATTGCTTTCATACATACACCCCCCCCTACATTTTTTTCATCTTCCATCTTCTACCCTTATTCGTTTTCATCATTTTTCTACATTCCTTTCTGTCCATCTCATCCGTTTTTTTATCATCATTTTTCCAAAATTTTCGCCATCCTTTTCTCCTTCCTCCTCGCCTCATTCATTTCACCAACTACCCTCCAAAATGTCATTTCCTCAATCTCCTCACCTCATCCATTTCAAAAAAATAAATTTTGCAAAATATATTGCAAAAAATATTTGTCATCAAAAAAATATTCGAACTGTCTAAAAACGATTTGTCCATTTCCCGGACAAAAAAATAGAACAGCAACAACATCACTCCCTCCTTCGTTTCATCAGTTTCATCATATATGTTTTTTAGGCGTGGTCGCATAGCTTGCGAGCTTCGCTAACGCTCGCGTGTCCCTTGTAGGATTTTAGGGTGGTTAATATCAAAATCATCACTCCTAATCAGTAAATGATACAATAGTGGTCATACTATTGTATCAATCACTCTAAGTTTCCCTATGCTTCTCCATTATGTGTTTCTCCCATTGATACGGTAGAAAACTGGCTCTACATGTCAAGCACCTAAAATGTTTTTTGCCATCTATGATTTTGATTTCATCAGGTTCTGGCAGTTTCTCCTCAGGGTTCTCGCTTCTTCTCAGGTTTCCTTGATGCCATGCTGTTCTCTCGTGTCTTGCTTTGCTTTTTAGTTGCACTTCAACATCACATAATGGACAGTAATGTGTTCTTGTTTTGTATTCCTTCGTGTATTCTCTTTGCCGTTCTTGGTATTTTTCAGGATTGTTCTTTCTATCTTCCCTTCTGTATTCTCTGTATTTTTCAGGGTTGGTGTGGTAGTGTCTTTTATTTTTTGCTCTACATATATTGCAAGTCTTGAACCCTTCTTCAAACTTGTCGGCTTTTTGATTGAACATGCATGTGCTACAATACTTTCTTTCAATTTCCATCCTTATTATCTATAGGTGTTCTCTCTTTAAGTGTAAATCCAAGCCTATAATTTATGAAAAATGTAGGCGTGGTGTCCTTTGTAGGATTTTAGGAAGCCCTTCCCCCTTTCCCCCAAAAAGGGGAAACCCTTCCCCCTTTCCCCCAAAAAGGGGAAACCCTTCCCCCCAAAAGGGGAAGCCCTTCCCCCAAAAAGGGGAAGCCCTTCCCCCAAAAAGGGGAAGCCCTTCCCCCAAAAAGGGGAAGCCCCTTCCCCCTAATTCAAACTCACCAAGATTTCACAAATTAATTCGCTAGGTATTTTGTATAGGTCTTCCTGTTTATGTATTGTTGGATTGTCTCCCCATTGTTCCTTGTTTCCACTTGGCAAACGTTGCGCAGTTTCAATATGTTTATTATTCCTGATGTTACCACAATCCTTTTTACATAGTTCTCTAGGTTTCCAAGTTGTAATGTTATTCCATAGCCTAGTGCGTTTTCTGTAAGGCATTCCATATTTACAGTAATCAACATCTTTAAATTCAAACTCATCCATAAACTCCTGATTTTTTAATAATCCAGTTTGTGGATTTTCGATTACAAAATATTTAGGATTAAAATATTTGTTATCTCGATAGTTTTTAAGACAATACTATTTGCATATTCGATATTCCTAATTCCCCTAGTTTTTGCTACGCTGTATTCAGTGCATGGGGGACTACTCCAAATAAAATCAAAATGGTTTCTGTCAAACTGTTTGTAATCCCACTCCAAAATATCAGTGTTGATATCAGCATTTTTCAAGTCTAATGATACTACATTAAATCCAAGCGACTTTGCTATGGTTCCGACGCTTTTTGTTCCGCTAAATAATTCTAATAAATTCATTTATTAGAATTATTTAGATATTAATTATTCAAATAATACATATACTCCATCATCATTTTTTGAAATGTTATAAAATTCTAATGTTTGTTGCTTTGGTTGTTTGATTTTTCCTGTATTCAACATATCACAGTATTTTTTTTGCTTTGTAGGGTAGTCACCCGATGGTCTTCCTATGGATTTTGCTTGAAATATCTTTTCGATGTTCTCCTTCTCTTCGTTGCTTTGTTGTTCGCGTTCAACTGGTTAAGTTTTTCATCAATGGATTTAATCATATCATTTAAATTTTTGATATTTTTACTTATTAATGTTATATTTTCCATTAAATTATTAATAGTATAATTCTCATTTTCAGACATTACTATATATTTATTTAGATAATTATTTATTTAATTATATATTTATAAAGTGCAATTATGTTAAATCTACTCT